TCCCAAGCTCTCATGATGGATCCCATTGCAAGCCCCAACATACAATCATGGGTAACTTTCATGGCATCATGACAGCTCAAATGGGTCAGTTATCTGCTAATATTATGCATAACTATTAACTACAGAATGTGCTTAACCCATTCCCCACACACCCCCCCCCTCCCCCTCCTTTTTTTGAGAAAAACAGGTCCCCAGAATGGATATGCAGCCAGGGCCACAAGTCATTCTTTTAGTTCGGTTGTACTGTTGTGGCATATTTCTTAAAAGCCCAACAACAAATGCCAACCACACATGATAGTTGTGGCCGACTCTTATGTATTTCGGCAAACAAATGCCAACTGCACATGATAGTTGTGGTCGTCGACTCTTATGGATTTAGGCTATGGCGCAGTTGTCAAGGTGAAACCCATGGGGGATGGGCCAGTTTCCAGACCGAAATGCTAGGTTGATCAGAGCGGACAAAGATATCTTGGAAATCATATCCCACCTGCAGATAACATCCAGTCATACACTTCCTTTGAAAAAAAAAAAAAAAAAAACATCCAGTCATACATGTTACTATATAGAATTCCAACCTGACGGTTGCCTGGGAGTGCCTTTTCCACTCACTGATTTTTCCCAATCTTCAACAGTTTGGTCAGTGATTCCAAGCAGAATTTTGTCTGGTTTCGCACTTGATAAAGTCCAAAAAGCATCCTGAGGTTCGAATATGAGCCTCGTAATCTCGCTATGTAGTATTAAAGGGATTGCCATCAGAGTAGGAGCATCATGACATCTTTCGATGTCTCGCTTGAAAGCATTGGTTGGAGCAAGAAAAGTGAGAAAAAGTAAACGAACTCGAAAATCGAACAAACCAGGCAACCCGAGCACTGGTCTACGTCGACAACTAGAAAAATGTCTGTTTCATGGGCTTGGACGGCAATCGTCCTACAGTGTTGAACACCGCCCCCCCCCCCGTCCTACAGTGTTGAACACCCAAGGTGCCATGCACACACTCGCTCGCTCACTGGGGAAAAAGAGAGAGGGGGGGACAGAGAGAGACGGGGGGAGAGAGAGAGAGCGGCAAGACACAGGAAATTCTCCACCTGCCTAGTACCCTACTGTGCATCAGTCCGCGAAGCTCTGGAAGGCCTGAGAGCCTAGCACTTTCTGAGCAGTCCAGTGATATGGCTTAAGCCTGCTTCACTGCTGTCTACGTAAGAAAGCAGCAGCTAGCACCCAAGGTGCCATGCACACGCGCGCGCGCGAGAGAGAGAGAGAGAGAGAGAGAGAGGGGGGGGGGGGGAGAGAGAGAGAGGGGGGGGGGGGGGGGGGGGGGGGGGGGGGGGGGGGGGGGGGGGGGGGGGGGGGGGGGGGGGGGGGGGGAGGGGGGGGGGGAGAGAGAGAGAGAGAGAGAGAGAGAGAGAGAGAGAGAGAGAGAGAGAGAGAGAGAGAGAGAGAGAGAGAGAAGAGTGAGGCCTAGGCAAGGTGCCCTCAGTACCGGCCCGGCGAGACACAGGCCTAGCACCCTACCGTGCATCAGTCCGCAAAGCTCTGGAAGACCTGAGAGCCTAGCACTTTCTGAACAGTCCAGTGGTATGGCTTAAGCCTGCTTCACTGCTGTCTACGTAAGAAAGCAGCAGCTAGCACCCAAGGTGTCGCGCGCGCGCGAGAGAGAGAGAGAGAGAGAGAGAGAGAGAGAGAGGACCTATTATCGTTTCGATATCCAGGGAGTGGCAAACTTCAACAATTTTCTCAGTCATGAGGTCTGAAATGATGGGAAGAAGAACCAGTGCTATTTCCAGCGCATGAAGAAGAGAGCTTGGCACAGCCATAGCCAATGTGATCTCGCTCTACTCCGTGCTGCTGTCGGTTGCAGGCTACGAACGACGGTCAGGCGACAAGGCGGATCTCATAAAGTGTGCTGATGTGGTATTCCAACACAGCTTTGCGTTAGCCAGCTGCAAATGAGTTGCTGTTTTCTGGTCGCCTGCAGCCTCTCTCTGTCGAGGCTGTACTATCAGTAGGATAGATTCGTAATTTTGTTTGGCTGAGGGCTAACCAAGAGACCTACCTGTGGGGGAAATTCGTGGGGGACATATCTGCAAATTCGGGAAAAACGCAGGGCCGGTACTAACAGAATTCCCTACAGCTACGAATAGCAGGCCCGGGCTACCCCTAGGACAGACGGGCCCTAAGGGCCCATTCTGATAGACGGTCCTATACTACCTATAGCCTATAGCCGGGTCCGGTAGAGGCCGAGAGGCCGAAACAGAAACGGTACCGGTCGGTCAGTCAGTCCGGTCTAGGTCGAGTCTAGGCTAGGTTAGTCTATAGATAGGATGGGCACATCGGTTCCGGGTTTTGGCAGTTGGTACCGAGTACATCGCTGCTGCGCTACGCGTGAACCAGAGGTGGTGACGGCTCAGTGTGGAAGGAGACAGGCATAGCCAGACCTTCGGAGCGCCGGCCATAGCTGGGACCTGTGCCGTACTCTGCCAGCACGCAGGGGCTGACAGAGGTCTGGGCTATCGAGGTCAGCTGGAGGCGAGAGAAGTTGGTGCCCTGCTGGACCCTCCTCCGGAGTGGGGTTCCAGGGTGGTGGTGTTGCAGCCATAGCTGCAGCTTCTTCCTCAGAGGTCATCTTGTCAGGGTTGGTAGCGCTGCTGCAGATTTCCACCCGGGAAGTCTTCCGACACTTCGTCATCATCAGATACTGTGGCGCTGGGCTTCTTCTTCATCCTCTGAGTGGCGCTTGGCCTCAAGAGGCCTGTTTCAGGGTGGCGCTTCCCTTTGGAGGCTGTATCTGGGTGGCGCTTGATGTTTCCGGGGCTCAGGGTTGTACCGAGTGGCTAATCAGGGTTGGGGAGTGAAGCGCTGCTCATTTCTGAGCAATGCACTGTAGTACTGAAGTTATCCTGACAGTTTGAGACTCTGAGTTTAATAAACAATGTGTAACTGGGTTTGGACTACCATCGTTTCATTGTTTCCTGGATGTGATCTGCTCGGCTTTTCTTTATGACTGGTTGTGAGGATTGAGTGGAGTGAATTGCACTTTCAGTGTACCCTGTCATATCGCACGGTCAAGTCTTCCGCTGTGTTTATCTCTCCCTGTGCGGTGTGATACTCCTATCCTCTCCCCTTCCTTCTGTGTATGTATGGGCATACTGGGAAGTCTATGCGAGCGAGTGTTGGTCTTCAGACAGCAAACAACCAGAATCATAACACAGCCCCCTCCCAGACATCTACCTTCATGGAGAGGCGATAATCTACTTTAGCTACCTTGTCACCAACCAGCCATAGACAAGGTACTTTTTTTATTCTGTTCTCCTTGTTGCATCTGGATTTGAACTTGGGGTCTGTATTTCAACAGTTTACACAACTTTACAGGTGTACCAACTTCACTAGGCCATTGATAAGACTTATTTTGGCAAGGCTAGCTTTTCTCTGAAACTCTCTCCTTGCGTCAGTCGGACTCGGTGAATCTTCTAGCGTTTCAATATCTCCTTACCGCTCGGATTCTTCTAGTGTTTCGATATCTCCTTACCGCAGATAACTCTGGTAAAGAAGATTCATGCTCTAAAACCACCACATCGATATATATTATATTCCAATCCAAGGCCAGACTGCACTGGTCTCTTAAGTTCTTAACACACTGTATTCCAAAAGTAAATGCCACATGAAAGGTACACATCGCATACGCCAGTCAACTCAGTCTATTTCAGCCCATGGATGCACTGCTCCTGACAAATCACCTGGGATTGGGTTGTGGGATGATTCACTCCCGCCTCGCCTGCAGCCAGTGCACAGCACCCAGTCCCATGGCATGCAGTTCCATCCCGTCGGTCCATCCACTATGTGACACCTGAAGAGGCCTGCCTGCAGCAGGAAGCAGTGGGTTTATTAGACCCACCACTGCTTCTGTCCAGCTGTCCAGCCAGCTGTCAGCCTGCACAACATGCATTAGAGGCAGTACAGACCGTCATAAGCGTGATGAATTTTCCGGACCATAAAGTACTGCGGCATGCTGACGGCGACAAAACACTGCTCCTGCTGTTAACATTGCACAGACAGCCTCCCCTTACTCTTGACCCAAAGCAATTGCCACCCCTTTCAGCACATGCAGCCGGCTTAGCCTACGAGTCAGAAATCGTGGGTTGCCACATAGCAAGCATCATAGGCCCGCCAATCGCAAGGACCCTGTGACGCAAACCAAACAGCAAAATTACGCCTACAGTTGGCAGCTATCTCCGGCTGTTCGCCAAACCGACTTAAACATTGACTTGCTGAACAGGGGCGCATCAACTGGTGGGCTTTGCTGGGCTAGAAACAGCCAAAGTAATAATCAGGTTCTGTTGCCCTGGGCTGTTGGACACCAGATACTGCCAGTCGCAACACTGCCTTTTTCACTCTGCGGGAACCCTCTCATCCCACAACTGATACTGTGGACGTGAATATGTACTCGGTCCTTTATTGCATCAGTTGGGCCCACTTGCGATGGGACCCTGTTACAAACAATGCCCTTCACACAACAGCAACTTCCTATGCCTGAAATAGAGCACATGATAACCTGAGAAGTAGAGAACTTATGACTCTGTTATGAGTCACGAGGCATTACACCATCCAAGCCGGCAACAGCATATTTTCAGAACTGTTTGATCGTATGGGCCCACTTGCGATAGGCCCACAGTTAACAGAGGGGCCATCACAAGGTAGCCCTAAGGAAACATTCAGTCTAATCGACTCTACTGCTAATAATTTAACAAATAAGTCTGTAACATTAAATCAGCAAATCGAGACGTGTCATGGAAGATGTATGGAAACCTGTACCAGGATCCACCCTTTTCCACTTAACGATCGACCAGGCCTTCCTTTGTC